CAAGATATGTCATAGGTAATTGCGCCACCCTGCAACCCAAGATCGCAGCCAACTTCTCCACGTTATCGACCTTTCCCACTGTGTTAGCCTCAGACTTTCCTAAATTTATTTTCAATCCAGAAACGGTTTCAAAGTACAAGAGTAAACTACGCAAGTTCCTGAATTGCTCATCATCCGCATCACAGAAAATCAGCGTATCATCTGTAAATAGCAAATGAGAAACCTGCAATTGCTCAACAGCAAAGCCCCTTAACAAACTTTGTCCCACGACCTTCTCAAGCAACCTATTAAATGCTTCCATAACAATGACAAACAACAATGGAGACAAAGGATCCTCTTGCCTCAATCCTCTACTACTATGAAAATAATCCTCCGGAATGCCATTCACTATAACTGAGAATGAAACCGTAGAGATACAAAATTGAATCTACTGGCACTACTTTTCCCCAAAGCCACATCGCCTAAGCATATACAAAACAAATCCCCAGTTAACGTGTACATAAGCCTTTTGAATGTCGAGCTTACACAACATTCCAGAAACCCTTAGNCCCTAGTCGCAATCTTGAATCAATGCATTCATTTGCTATAAGTACGGAATTCAAAATCTGGCGACCTTTGACGAAGGCATTTTGAAATTTAGACACTACTTTCCCCAGCACCTTCTTCAATCTATTCGCCAAAATCTTCGCGATAATCTTGTATACCCCACTTACCATGCTAATAGGACGAAAGTCCTTAATATCCGTCGCTCCTGGTTTCTTAGGAACCAGCACAATAAACGTAGCATTGTTACTTAAGAATTTTCCAATGTCTGATAGCACCACTTCCCAGCAAGCCTTATAGAATGAGAAAGAGGATCCATCAGAGGACTTTATCGTCATTCATGCTGAACACCACCTCCTTAATTTCATCATCCCCAAATGGTCTCTCTAACCAATTAGCATCATCCTCAGTAATAGTGGAAAAATCTAGCCCCTCTGGCCTCCAATCCAGCTATTGACGATAAAGATTTGATAAAAGTTTACCATATGGGTCCCGATATGATGTGGATCCTCACGACTGACCCCATACAAGAAAGAGAGTCACCTTATGGATCTATAACAACGGCAAATAAAGCAAACTTTGTAGATACCCTTCACTAAAGAGTCACCTTAAGAATATATATTCAGATAGATGTTCATTGAGGTGGACATATTTTAATTTCTGCCTTGCTTTGTGCTTATATGCTTCTACCTCTTTGTCGTAATTAAAGAGGAAAATCATCTTTTGGGCTTGCCTTGTTTGGGCTTGCCTTGTTTTGGCTTGGACTCACAGAACCTACTTTCAAATTGAGGGAATTGTCTTGACGTATAGCATCTGGTCATTTACTTAGTGTAATTGCTGCTGTATACCCTTTTCGTTTTCTGCTGTCTCGGTTAGCTGATAAGTAGCTATATGAAATTCCTGCTAAATCTGAAGATTAGTCCTCCTTCACTTCCATAGTTTCTTGGCCTTGAAAGTTTCTAATCAAGTCAACTATCCTTATCTAGGAAATAAAGGAATTTCTTTTGATGAGAAAAATATAATTTCCTTAGGAACCTCCTTATTATGCTCGTTTGTGGACTTTGTTTAGGTTTTTTTCCTGATCTTAAAAGTGACTGACAGGGAGCAAACTTGGTGGCCACTGAAGGGTTTTGGCACTGGTTGCCCAGTGTCAGCTTGTGCATTTGTTTATTGCATATTTAATATTCTTGATTTTTTTCCATATAGTTAGGCTTCTTAAGTAATTAAGGTCTCAAACTTTTTATTTGTGCATGGGAGTGTCGGTGCATGTTGTGCAAAATATTTTCCAGTTTTTTGTCTACTAGGATCTTTAGTTGCCATTGTAGAAGACTTGAAAGGACATGGTGGTACAAAGTGCTGGAGTAACAAAACCTTTGCATTTCAGTTGAAGGCTTCTTTAAGGTATGGAATCAAACCAAACTTTGTTGCTACAAGTAGCAAAATCTTAGTTTGATTATATCTATTTATTTCTTTGTTAATGATCTTAGTCTGTTGCTAATATATTAGCATACACTTTTGTCCTGGCAGACTATTTGCAGTTTCATGCAATAAATGCTTTGTTATGATTATCATTGCACTATTATACAGGGTAGATAAATTTGAGGTAAATATCCAGACGCTTTTACTGGCAAATGCTGTAAAAGGAAGTTTGAGTTTGCTTTGAATTTCTATATTTGTTCCACATGGACATCTTCAACACTTGCTTTCCATGATGAACTTATGGTACAGAATAACTATAAATTCATGATACTTGTCGGAGTGGTCGGGAACTTTTGAAATCATTTACTAAGCATCACACTGAATGATATAATGGTAAATGCCAAATCAAAAGGATTACACACGGTTGTAGATCCGTATTATTGCAGTCATCTATAATGTGAACTCTTGTGGACAGAAAATAGACTTCAACCTTGTATAGGAGGAATTTTGATAAGAGCATTTACTCCATGCAGATATTAGAGAAAATAATGACAAACCTAGTTTTGAGCCTAGTAACGACCAGCTAACATCTGCAGTTAGCAGAAATACCGGCTTCTCCATGCAGATATTCGAGAATGTAATGACAAAAACCTGTTTTGAGCCTAGTAACGACAAGCTAACGTCTATGATTAGCAGAAATGCCGGCTTCTTTAGATTTTATTCTCAAAGATTCCTAACAGACGTAGAGCTAATTTATCACAAACATTTTCTTACATAATTGCCCAGGATACGACAAATGAACATTTTTTCGTTGGATAAAGCAGCCATTAGGTTTATGAACAATATTAACGAAATTACTGACGATTCGTGTAGTTAGGATACTGTTCTTGAGCAAATTATTGAACTGAATAACAATATTGGGCCAAGTTATGGTTTTGTTCTTGATCGAAGTTATTGAACTGAAAACGAAGTTGAGCCATCAAAATGCCTAGAATTTTATTTGGACAAACATATAGGATTTTAGCTCTTTATCACCATTTACTAGATTTTGAAGAAAAAGCCTTTTTTCATGGTACCTTGGAAATGACTTTAGATTACATTAGCAAGTTTGTAGCAAAATTTTTTTTGCCTACTGTTGTTCAGTAAATAGCAAGAATGGAAGCATCATTATTCAATGTTGATGGTAGAGCCTTAAGTTTTATGTATCTACAGGGGTGACACAGCTAAGAAAAGAGTTATTATTTTTATACACGTGCTCTTGTATTTAATCTTTGGTTCTGAATGTGTGAATTATTTGAAAAAAACAACAATCCATGCCTTTTTCTCAATATATTTGAGGTGAACTACATGAATCACATTTCATTTCGTCATTATGTTCTTCATAGTTAGATCTAGTAGGATATCTAATGCAACTTGTGAATTATTTTAAAAATATACACAAATATCATGAGAAAAAGAGGAGCTTTTGACTGGTCTCACAATTCTGTTCCCTGTTAGGAGCTTGGGTAAAATGTTGAACCTAGCAGGACTAGGTGATCACGAGCTAGGTACTGAACAAATCTATGTGTGCAACTGGCTATAGAAACTGGTTAAAAAGTGAATCACAAAATAGATTACATTACAACTTATTGATGTACTATAATTACCTGGTCATTTCATCTTTAGGACATTGGCTATTTAGGTAAACAGATAATGTCTTGCTTTCTTAATGTGCATGTCTCACTTTCCCTAGACTGAAATGGCAAAATATAAATGTATCCAAATCTTCCTATAATCTGAGCAAAACGATTTTTACCTGCCAAAGACGATTTATTTTTAAAGTGGTTTGAAGCCATCATAATTATTGCTTGTGGTTTATAGCAGATATGAATGCTTCATGATTCATCTAATTCATAGGCTAAGCATTGAACTGTCTATAAACTGGGGTTGGTTGGTTGGATTGGCCATAGGTGAGTTTCCATGGTAAAAAACATTTATTTCCAGAATTTACCTCAATTTTTGTATAATTTATTAAACAGGTTGTTTTGTGGTATCGGGCGATGAAAACTAGGCTTGGTTTGTGGTTTCAGGATGTGAAAAATTGGTGACATGTGGCATTAGGCTTAGTTTTCTATATAAGTTACTAGAGTATTCTCCAATTCATTACTTGTAGCTACCTTTCTGATACCTGAGTAGGTTGGCTTCCTTACGCTAGTTCATCTTTTGCTATTTTACCGATTTGTGTTACTTTATGTGTTATGAATTTGCAATTTATTAGCCTGAAATCTTTAGATCTGTAATGACTGAAGATTGATAGAGAAACTTCGCATTGGGCTTTGTTTCTTGAGTCGTACGTATATTCTCTTACTCATTTGTTGCTGCTATTTCTCTGATGTACAGTTTGATGTATCAATCCATTCAATTTTACTTGGGCTATAATAATTTTTCCATCTTATGCAATTTCTTCCTCTGTTCCTGTTTCTGCTCTTTTTCATTTCACCCAAACCACCCTCATCGCCTTGCTTTGTTGGTATATTTCTGAAATTGTTAGGGTTTTACCCTTGCTGGCCTGTCTGTCACGAGTCCTTTCTCTTAGTTCCCTTTTTCAGAGTTCTGTTAATTTTTTTCTTATATAATTTTTCTTGATTTAATCCCTGGGTAAATTCTGTTTTCAGGATTTTTACTAGTCTCAAGTTTTGATCTTCTTATGGATGCTAAACCAATTATAGTCGGACTGGAGGCACTGCGTGCTTACCATTCAATTGACAGGGCTCTTTTTGCTATCCTTGCAACTGTACTTTGCCGTGATCCTTTGGAATCGTTGCAGATCATTGCCTTATGGCTTTGGTTAGAGCAGGTGGGTTTTGGAAAAGTCACTAGGAAGATCTTGGCATCTGCTCCGCTGTTCATCAATCAAACTGCTGAAGAGGCTATTATGTGCCTCAAGTGCATAAAGGATTCAAGCTTCATATATTCAGCTGAAGCCACAGATATTCCTATGACTCGTTGCATTATTGAGAAAGATATATCACTTTGGTTTTTTAATGAGAATCGTGTGACTGCATTGCATGAAGTGGGCACGATTATTAATGAAGATTGCCTCCCTGCAATGCAAGACGTCATAAGACAAGCTCATAATGGTTATACTGGAGAAAGTTCATCAAGAAGCCGGATATTAAATCCATTAAATGCTGCTCAGAGTTCTTCCTCTAATCCTACTTTGATGCCATTTAATGGTGGACGAAGTTCACTATCAAACGAGTGGCTTCCATCCAATGCTTCTCGACGTTCTTTACCAAATCCCATTGGACCACTCAATGGTGGGCGAAACTCAGGACATAACCAGATGAGGATTCCAGCCAATGCTACTAATGAAGAAAGTTCATTGAGAAATCAGGTGATGATTCCAGAAAATGCTGCTCGAAGATCTTTATCAAATCCTATTCTTATGCCATCCAATGCTGGACAGAGTTCATCCAATGCTGGACAGAGTTCATCAAATCCTAATGTGATACCATTCAGTGGTAGACAAAGATTGGAATCGAACCATATGAGGATGTCACATCATTCCGACGAGTCCATGATCCGTAACTTCTCTAGCATGAGAATCGGAAGGAATGCATTCGGGGGAAATAATCAAGTCATAAATGAGTTACCACCCGAGGATCGGACTATGTTTGTGACATTTTCTAGGGGTTATCCTGTGGCTGAAGCAGAAGTTCGGCACTTCTTCACTACGGTCTTCGGAAATTGCATAGAGTCCTTCTACATGCAGGAGGTGGGGCCTTATGAGCAACCACTTTATGCTTTGGTCGTGTTCCACAAAGCCTCGTTTATTGAAGAAATTCTTGATGGTACAGAGAAGGTCAAGTTTTCCATCTATGGAAAACATGTTTGGATGCGCAAATATGTTCCAAGAAATTCTTCCTCCTCTTAACTGGCTTTGTTGTGCTAGAATGCTGGCTGGGTCGTGTTTCCGTGTTTGTTTCCTGTCATTCGCTTTTGTCGTTAATGTAGTCGTTGCCTTGTTGTTAATGTAGCCGTTTTCGTGTTAATGCAGTTGTCTTTCCGTTAATGTAATTTCTTTCTTCCGCATGTTGTATTTCCAATTTGACTAGTGAATGTAATATATATGTGTTGTTACTTGGATTACTTTCAGTTATTTTCAGTGAAGTAGATGGCTTTTTAAGAGGGATATTTGGTATCAGAAAAGAAAATAAGAAACTTGATAACACAGGTTTTTCTATCCTGGAGCTTATTCTGCACTTCCTTAGTCTGAAGACTCTCTTCAGATGCTATACCAGGAACTGCTTTCACTCAATGAAAGGGTTAATTATTTTTGTTTTCTGATTGTGTGGCCAGCGTGGGGTTGGGAAGTTACCTAGACTAGCTGTGGTGCGTTACGCACGAGGATAGATGACACTTTTTTTTTCTTATTCTTATCTGTTCAGTATATTATTGACATGCGAAAGAAAAATTAGGCCTCGTTTGTCTATCATTATTTTAAAATATTGTTTGCTACAGTAAGATTCTCCACCATATATTCATCAATAAAATATTTTACACACAAATCAATAAAGTTACTTTAAATTTCAACCACACATTCTCCAAAAAATATTATTCATTACTCCATTTCTTCTACAACAATAGGAGACAAACAGACACTTTAATGTCTTATAATGTGATTAACATACCATGGTTGGATGATGAGTTCACTCCATTCATCATTCATTTTTATAAGCTTCTAATTATTTAAAATTGTTTAAAATTGAAACAAATGTTTAACTATTGAAAGTATGGGTTAGTGAGATTTGTATCTTTGTTAAAACTCTATCGAAAAAAACAAAAATAAATAAATAAATGAGTTCGACCTCATCTAAAGCTCACCTAAAATTGCAACAAATTTTGTCTTGCTTCGGTGGTTGGGGGTTGGCGAGAGGTAAATAGCTTTTGAGTCAAAGGCATTGCATTAATTTGGCTTGTTGTGACATGAAAAATGAGTGTTGTTCAGATTTTTATCTTTAAAAAAGTAGATGAATCTTACATAAAGTGAGTGGAAAGCTGACTCATTAGTTATCTCGATAAGTTATTTTGTAACTGACTACAGTTGGTCATGGTCAAATGAATATGAATTTATTGAGAATCGTGTTGAGTTGGACAAAATATTGGGTTCTTTTATTTTGTTCTATGTTTTTTTATCGGGTAAGCTAAAAAAGTAAGGTTTCAAAAGTTGAATTGATTAGGTGGGTTTATAAATGCATTGTAATTGAAACATGAGATGGATGGATCATTTATGTATATAGGAAGAAGCTTTGTAAAGTAATGAAATTTCAGTCATTGATGAGAAGTAAACATGTCAAGTCTAGTACTTCAATTAATGACACATTAGTATTTTTATTTGTGATCATTTGACATTTAATCATATAGAGATTTTATATTAATGTACCCAACTCTATATATGCAAATTTTATAGTATTGCATAATTAAATGAATGGAGTAGAAGAAACTGAGTTTATATTTATTATTGAGATGAGTCAATGTCCGTCCATCATTTTTAATGTATGGAGATTGATGAATAGAGAAGATGACCCCCTTTTGGTCAATCATGCTTAAATTTTGAAAGTTTATGGACAATTGTTATTTAAAAAATCACATACCACTTCAATCAGTTGCTCGTGCAGCCCTTTTGTCGTGTATCATCTTAGAAACTTTTTGTTTTAGATTTCCCACTTATCATATATAAATCAACAGTGTTTGGAAGTTCCTCGCCAAACATGAATCTAGCTATGAACATACTTAGATAAAGACTGAGGTGAACACGCGGCTCGCCAATGCGACGTCACAAGCATGTGTAGTATATGTCATGATAGGGCATAGCAATGTAAAAGTGTCGTGAAATTGGATATCGGACAATATGGTGACAAGGACCACTCATGTTGTTTTGAATTGACAATTATTTTTCAATTAACGCCTAAAATGAGAAACATGAGATATTCAACGTATGTACCCTTGTGCTTTGCCATAGAGAGTCGAGGAGATAAATCAAATTTTTACTTTGTCATAGAAGTACATAATCTTAGCGCCTAATGGGCTGGCTCATAGGGCTGTCCAACCCAATTGTCACTCCTAACTCTAGTTAGACATGTTTATCTTTAGATATTCAATAAATAAATTACTTTCGCAGTATTTATACTTTACTATAGTATCAATCAAATAATCATACTTCAATTAGTTGACTATAATTTAATTTGATCTCAATAGGGTAAATTCCATCCAATTCCATACAACAATTAAATTACTTTCGCAATACTTTATTCTAGTGTCAATAAAGTAACTATAATTTAATCTCATTCGAGTAATTTCATTCAATTCCGTCACTTAGATTGATAGAAATCGATGAACTGATAGTTAGTGAATGGAGTTTGTCATATATTTCAATGAAGTTTCACATACTAAAGGTAACAATTAACAGTTACGTGTGATGACCATTATTTATTGATCATAACAACATTGATTTATGTCAAAGAATTGAACAATGATGTCTTAATTGAAATTAAATTAGTTATCTGATTGAAATCAAATAAATTATAGTTCCTGATTAACATCGTATATTAAATTATAGATAATTGATTAAATAATTGAAGTATAGTTACCTAATTGAACTAAATTACAATATATGTATCACAATTGAATTTAACCTGATGTACAACACGAATTTAGCATACACGCATTATATCAATTAATTGTAAGTAGGTGTGAACAAAAAATTGACAACGAATCGAAACTGCTCTGAAAATGTTGGTTTTGTTCTACATAGACTTGTCAACACTTCGATTCCACTTGAAACAAGAACTGGTCTGAGTTAGTTTCGATAGTTAAATAGCTTGAATCCAACCGAAACATTCTCCCAAATAATTTTGTATTTACTTATTTTACTCAAAATATATTACTAATTATGATGAATTGAAGTTGTTCAGGTGATAAAGTCATCTTTAATAGGAAGTAATTAATGATTTTCATTCGAATTATGAAAAGACTTGAATACATATTTTTTGATTACTTCAAAATTTTGAATCAGAATAACAATCACGCCATACATACATCATCTTTTACGTAATTTTTTACATTGTGTCACATGGAGGCATATTTGACAGTTTAAAAATAAAAATAACTTTTTCGTCCACAATTTTTTAAAAACAAAGGGAATATCAAAAGCAATGTAAGCGAATGAATGTACATTTAACATTATTATTACAATAATGATATATGGTATTCATCGTCACTTCTTATCTTAAACGAGTGATGTGATATTTGGATGACTTAAATTGACTGGTCATCTTAATTGAATTTGAAGTTTAGGTTTTAAGAAGACAAATTAAAGTAATGCCATGTAATCGATTTTGGTAAGCACAATTTATGAATAATAATATTCTTTAAATTAAAGTTTGAACCGAATTAAATTTGAAGTAAACTATTTATTTATTAGACATAATGAATAAAAGAGTTAAATGTTTTATTGACCATAGTACTTTACACCTCATTACGACTTACTCACCGAACTTGACTAAACTTCCCAATGGCTACTGAACTTAACTATGTTGCACTAAAATGGTCACCGAATGGATTCCGCCTATTCTTGCATCTACGTGGACGACGAAAATGTGAAATTGCAACTAAAATTGTCCACATTTTTTTGAGTTGCACATTCGAATGCCAAATCACCCAAACAAACCCTCGCCCACAGTAAATTAAAAACGTGTTTATGTTAACGAGGAAATGGTGGAAAATACCCGGTTGACCCGGTCACTTTTCCACAATAGCCGTTGACCAAGTAAAAAAGAAAAAAAAAAGGAAAAACTAAAAAAAAAACTTAAAAGTCCAACATTTTCCCATTTTTACCCTCATACGTGACTGTGAAGAGAGTTGAGAGAGATAAAAGCATGTTTTCGAATTTTTGTTGATTATTTTCGAAGAAATTGTTGTAGAATCAATTATTAATGGATGAAATGTGATTTGGGTGAGATTTGGGGGCGGAGATCGCCGGAAATGGCGTTTTCAGGTGAATCTATTAGTTATAATGAAATAATCGGTTGACTATAAAAAAATTATAAAATATTATTTAGTTATAAATAATAAAATATGAAATATTCGATTGTTTATTTAATATTCTATTAATTATAACTAAATAATATTTCATTATTTTTATATACACAATTAAAATATGCAATTTAATTATAAATTCTTCTTTTACAATTAAATATTAAG